GATTTAAAGGATGGTTTGGCTTAATTCCAGCCAATGGCTACATTGCTCAAGAGAGTTTTATGCCAAAGATTTGGCAATTCATGAGAATCTGAACCCTCTTGTAAGCAATCATGTAATTCATAATTTTTGCTACAAATAGAAAACTGGAGTTGCATAGCTTAGAATATTTTCTATTACTTGAAAAACAATGGTGACAACAATTCTATCAGACATGTTTTTAAGCCGTATGTAAAATCTAGCCCTCTTAAAACTAGACATGGAAGATGAGTGGGATTTCTCATTCATTTTCCAGGCAATTTTACTACTACTTTTAAAATAGTGTTCCTAACACAATTACTTACATTTTTATCTGCAACATATTGGAAAAAACAGTGCAATACTCACAAACATATACATGCATATTTGCTTCCTGTAAAGTCAGCTGGACTGCGGAGAAAAATAAATGAAGAAATAAGTGAAGAAGGTGCACCACAAGCATCATAAAAGCCACTCAGAGAATTAATGATTTCATGGCAAGCTCTTGCTCTTCACAAGTTCCTCCAGTTGAATTGATCACACAGACTGCTTTTTTAGGCAATGCTATAATCATATGAATTTACAAAGGAAATTTTTGGGTTAGTATGTTACCTGACAATTGTGACATTTGGTTGTTCCTGAAAATCATATAGTCTGCTTCTCTATCAGTTTTGCCTAGGAATTTGCCTTGCCTTATAGGAAAAAATAAATTATGATGACTGCATATACCTGAGCAACTAAGGCATTCTGCTGAACAAGAAAATACAATGAAAGGAGTCCATGCCATCTCTTGGGTACTCTGATCTAAGGATTACTAGAAATGCTGAAATACTAGTGAAAGATTTAATGCATGTATTTCCACATTTCTCCCTTTTTGTATCCATTAACTATTTCCATGTATATATTTCATTTTCTGAACTAGCATAATTTTATTTGGCATTTATGGAGTTGACAGGAACTTAAGACTGCCAAGACAAGTGCAGTGCATCAGCTGCCTGGAATACATGGCAAAGCCATGAATAATCATAATAGTTGTAGTAGTGGTAATAATGATGGAAAGCTTTAAGATTATAGACTGCAAGTATCCTGAGAGATGTTTGACAGGTAATTGCAGTAGGTAATTTGCCAAATTGGACTTGTAAACTAGATCATATGGATGCAAAAATAGAAAAGTTTTCTGCAGAATATTTAGCCCACAGTTACAGTACTGGAGAACTGCATGAACATTTATTATCTGTGGGACTTGGGAGCAGTAGGGTGAGTTGACAGGCTGTCTGTATTTCAGTTCTTCACATTTTGAGTTGAGTTGGAACTTAGTCAATGTGTGTGCAAAGAAAACCGAGAATAAGAAAAGTACGAGTGTAATTAGCTGATCCCATTGTCCACTTATGTGAGATACCAAGACAAATGTTTAAAAAGAAGGTGATAATACTTAAAAAAAGAAAAGGAAAAATAAAGAATCATAAACACTGCTTTTAAAAACAAAAAAATGTCCACAGTTATTTGTATTTTATATATGTGGTCGCATGTCTGATTTGTTCCAGCAATGTCTGGTGTGGGGTGGGTGAGATGTGTACATTTTGCAGTGTTGTCACCAGTCAGTGCTGTCTGATTCAGTGGGTTTACTTTCAATGTCCTTAGCGATTATTCCTTATGACATTATGGTACGATCTCTGCAGATAGAACTTAAAATTGTTTTTGTAGAGACCATGTGAAGTTTTGGTTATGAAGGTTAGAATTCCTGGAATAAGTAAGCAGTACCTCTCAGTGTATTGTCTTGCTAGTCTTAAAATTAGGTTTTGAAATTATACAGAGACTGCAAATGCAGAAGAACCCTCTCCCTGATTTGTGTGGTTTGTTCTTGCTGCTCTTGTCTTCCTTCCTTATTGCTTTTTTATTTTCTTACAGTTTTGGAGCTCTTATTTCTCTTTTATAGGATTTTAGCTAGTTCCAGCTTAGATGACAAAGGTCTCTTTTGCCATTTTTGTGCATGAGGCAGAGCTGGAAGGAGTGACCATGAAGATCTGATACTAGTCATAAAGTTGTTCCATTGCATTTCCCTTTTATTTCTCTTCTTTTTCTTGTGAATACCTGGACATTTGTTTCCCTTAGACTACTAATGGCCAGTATTTGACTGCATCTGCAGGAAATGTAAATTAACACAACTTTTGCTGCTTTATTAGCAATGTGTGTCATTAATGTTTTAGAAAATAATCCACAATTAGAAGATAACCTTACAGTGTTTCAGCTGAAGTTCTGTTTGGTTGGTTAGAAGATCACATAGCCTAGCTTTACTTATAGTATGGCAGTGAATATATGTGCAAAGTTCAGGGAATAAACAGGTAGAAGTAATAGATCTCCTCCTTGCTGTAACTGTGTATTTCAGTTCATGGATAATCACTGTATTGGTTTAACTAAGTGAATAGCAAATTTTTAGCTTGTGTAGGAGTAAAGTTTGGTTGCAGATTTTTGTGTGTGTTCTTGCTTTTCCAAAGTAGAAAAAAAGTTGGTGTTAAACATGCATATGATCTTTTTCTTACCTTAATTGCAATGTTTTGATACCCTAGTTAAACAGATATTAAAGAAAATCTTTCAAGAGTAAGATATAGGCTTGTATGGAAGAAAAATACATTCTCCAGGTGTGGGTGGTATGCTACTAAGAATAAAAATTTATTTCTAATTGCCTAGTTAGAGACTTTTTATAGTTCTCAAGTGCTTTAAGCTCTTTTAGGTGAAAAGAAATGGGTATGAAAAAGCAATAAATGTAAATGGTAAAGGTCCCAGTAATAAGCAGTAAGCCTTACCATTCCATGCACGGGGTGTTTGTGGAGGGTGGGCACAGTGATCTTCAGTCCTTGCTGCATAAAGAACAAGGCAGCAAAGGGGAAACAAACTGTTCCCTATGACAGAAAGTGGCATTGGCTTTTGCTGCTGGGGTCGTTCAGAAGCAGTCTCAGCCCTCATCTCTAGGGATGGCTGCAAGGATCAGCTTGGTGACCTTTAACTGGGCTTCTTTGAGTCACAGACTTCAGGGCTGCTCTGGGTTGCCATCATAGTTCTTGACATTCCTGCACGCTTCCCAGAGTTCATGCTTGAATTGGATGCCATTCATGTATAGAAAAAGTATATTTTGGAATTGTTTTGGTTTTTTTTACTTAAGTGTTGCATCTGCTGTCTTCCAGTCTTTCTGTCTTTTATGATTTACTGAACTGTTAATTTTTCTCTTGCCTAAATGTGAAGATGTAATATCAACAATTTGCTGTTGCTATGTGATGAACTTGTTTAGCGATTCCTTTACCCAATTTGTAGGGAATTGTATATTGAGGAGGAAAATTTAGGGTGAATCTATTCATAGACTGGATGCCTGAGAAGTTTTCCACTTGTTTTACTATCTTTTTTGGATTCAGAAATATTTTAATTTTTTATATATAGTTGTGGTTTGTCAGAAGAATGCATATTTCTTTAGCTTCCTTCATGATTGTGGGGGAGTTTCAATTCAAGGATTTAGCAGTATTTCTCTGTTATTCACTGCTTTCTTGTTTGTAATAAACCCAAACAGCATTAGAAAATCCAGAAGCTTTCCTCCCTTAGTAGTGAGACTTCTCAAACAGTATCCTCTTTAAACTGAATGTTTAAACCTATAGTAAATTCTATTACCAATGAAATTGTCTTCTTAAGAGCACTTTTTTTCTTTAATATAAATGTTGCAATCTCTTCCTGCTATTTTTGCAAAATGATTCATAAGTAACCATGCAGAAAATAGATGTATCCAGATTGAAAATGTTACATGCCCTCCCACATATAACAATGAAATGTGTGTTTTGCTACTAAGATTGCAAATACTTCATTGATGTCTGCATATAATTAAATGTGTTACATTTTCTTTCCGGCTGTGCTTACTGGCAAATGTTTCCTGAATGCCAACAGCTGTTATTAGGGAAATGCTTCCTGATCAACATGCTACTTCTGCATAGGTGGTTTATATAAAGCTTAAGAACACATTGACTTGTCTTGCCTGAGTAACACTTGAAGTGTTTCATGGATTAAAAGTTTGTTTTTGTTTTTTTTTTTTTAAACAGTTGCATATAAAAAAATAGGTTTTCTAGCAGGATAAATCGATTTTAAAATGACACTTTGAACATGAAAACTTAGTCACATCTTTCATGTGGATATAAAGCATCTATTCTAAACAGAGCTTGCACTAATGACTGCAAAGTTTCAGCACCTGAATGAACTTAAGAGTGGTTCTTTCACCAATATTTGTTGCATTTCATGTGCTCTCTGCCTCGGTAATTCCATTTCCTTATATCCATTGAGATTCTGTCAGAAAAATTTCTGCAGTCCCAGCCTCCCATGTGTTGGTCTTGCTTACGGAGGCTGCCTCCCATGCTGCATGGGGTAATGGCAGTGTAGAGCAGTCCCAGCAGGCTGTGTGTGCTCACGGTTCCTGTGAGCTTTGGATGCCCTGTTCCTCCTCCCTCCTGTTCAGGAGTGTGTTACAATCACCTCCTCTTCCCCCTCCACCAAGGGTTTCCTTCCCTTCTTCAGCAGTGTGCAGAAATGTCACATCAGCTCAGCAAGAGTTGTTCATCTGGGTCACTGAATACTGTTGCTGATATCTCTGTTTTCCAGTGTTGCCATTGGAAGCAGGGCATTCTGCTGCTAATGGCATTCTTCCATCAGGGATGCCTGGTGGAAGGCACTTGTGTGGTAGACATGTGACTAACTGGCATGTGCCAAAAGCATGCCAAGTAGAGAGTGTTGTCTGTATCAAGGAAGGAAACTACTAGAACTAGAGAATAGATATAAACATTTATCAATATTTCCTTTCCTTTCAGAGGTAGTTTCACACTTTCCATTCTGTCTAAGTCTTTGAAATACTTTATTTCTTCCTAAAGACTTCAGTTCAATCCTTTTAAGGATAAGTCAAGGAAGGAAAAATGATTGGACCAATTTAACCTGCTTTTTCTGTTTTACTTTTTCAGGATTGCACAGTATATGAAACAGAGAACAAAATTCTTCATGTGGTGAGTACTATTTGGATTTCCAAAAAAGTTTGTATGGACCACATAGAATTTTAGAGCTGTGCGTTTTGTGCTTTTTGTATGCTCTGCCAGTAGATAACTAACTAGACTAGGTATAACTGAGTGAATTTATGGAACTATTTGTGAGTAGGTCAGCAGAGCTTTAAAGGGGATTGTGTTTGTCTGGCTGAGGCCCATTTGTTATTTGCAAACCATGATTAGAAGAGGGATGGTTTTTGAGAGAGAGATGGTTGCTAGGCTTCTGTGAAATAATTTATGTGTCTGTTAGTGATATAGCTCAATTTATACAGCTTTATTCCTTACAGGAACCTAGAGATAGCCTAAAGATAGGAAAATTAATGCAATGTTTCCTTTTCAGAATGAATACAGTAGTCTCTTCCAAGAATTTTTAGTGCTATTTATGGTAAATATAGCAGATGAAAGTTATCAGGGCATCAGAAAACATGGTGAGTTTGAAAGGCTGTTGCATAGAGAGTCAAAAGCTGGAGTAAGCCTTGTCTGAGAGCTGCACCCAAGTTTTAGGTATTAAATTGTGTTTCATGTTCTGGCTGAGGTTTAGTTAACCCACAGCTTGTTTCTAAAATTTAGAAGTGAAGCTAATCTCTTTAATAGTGAGTAATTAATTAATTTATCTCACATTCAGGTAGGTTTTGATATCTTACCGATCTTATTACCAGAGCTTAAGCCAGAAAATACTGCATTTCTTTAGGTGAGCTTCCCTGTAAATGTTGAAATAATTATTTTTGTTATTTATTTTATTTATAGTGTACCTGTGTGAAATGCTTGGCAGGCTGAATTCTGTAAGCTTTTGATGCTTTGGTTTCACAGTGATGTGGAATAAAAAGTCTCCTTGTATTTTTAAGTTTTACTGACATTTTTTCAAGTGTGAGACATAAAGAATTAGCAAATTTAGTGAGGCTGACATCGTCATCTATGCTAGGTCAACCTCTGCAAGTGTTTAAGTAATAAAGTATTTTATTACATAATCTTGGCAAAAGTCGAAGTGCTATGGGTTTGAAATCTGTGTATATAGCCTGTTTTTCAAAGCATGCTTGTTTCTGTAAGAGCTGAGAATTCTGAAATCTTCTGTATACACTATATATCTTTTACAAATTGGCAGAAAGGATCGTAAAGGAAGCTGCCAGAGTTTAGAACTGAGGAAGCATCACTTTATACAGTCATCAACAGATAATTTTGGAGAAACTGAGAGGGATTAATTTTAAATACATGTGTGCACAAAATCGAGACAAGTTTCAAAAGTTATCTTACATCATTCAGACTCTTGCAGGTTTATTTATGTAGTCTGCAGTAACTTCACTGTGGTCACAGGTGGGCATAGGTATAAGTGTACCTTCTGTGATCACTGCTCAAACCTGAAAGGAAACATGAGCATGAACAGAGCATTGAATGTCTTAGTGAAGCCCTGGGTTAAAAATGGTCCTACATGGATTAAACATGACTGTATATTGCATGTAACTTGGATCATTTCTGACTATGTTGCATATCACCTGATCAATGGGATTTTATGGGGAAAAGGTTGACCTAAAAGCAATTGGTGAAAGAGGTAAATCTGTGACTAAATGATTAAATGATGGCATTTGAGATCATGTTTTCAGTTTGAAAGATAGTTTTTTCCAAGTGCAGGTTGAAAGGTTGATGATAGCATTGGAATTGGAAGCAGACACATTTCCCTCTAGCCCTTATTCTTGGAAGACAGGAAAAGGTGTTGTGGGTTTGGCCCATTAGACAGTCTGAAGAGAGCAATCCAACAGTAAAAATAAGGTTCTCTGATTCAAAAAGAATTGCAGTAAATTGTGGGAAAGGCGTAGCAGGAACTTTGAATAAGAAATACTGGGAGAACTAGGAAAGGTTGAGAGGACATGTGCACTGATATTGTAGGAGAGAAAATAAATCCTCTCGTTTAAAATTTCAAGATCACACTATTCCAAGTCCATTTTCAGAGTCTCTTTCCCATCTGAAGTGATGTTTAACCAGCATCCCAACCAGCTGCCTTCGAGTGATCAGATACAAACATAGAGCTGTGTTTGGTGAGCTGACTTAGACAAGAAGTTGAATTCAAACCTGTGGGCACATCCCATGTAATTTCATGTACCACTTTCTCTTCATGACACAAGGAAACAAGTTTCTCAAAAAAGTGAAAAGAAATGACTAACGATCAATTAGAATTTCATGCAATTAGCATAAGGAAATCCTTATTGCAAGGTATTGTTCTTTCCAAAGATTTGAAGTCAAATTTTAAGAGATTTTTCTTACATAAGAAATATAGAACTAGAGCTACAGAAATGGAAAAAAATATATAACTTAAAGGACAATTATGTACCTGTACTTGTCAGGACACCAAGATATTTGCCACCTTATGAGCAAACATTGGATCAAAATAGTAGATTTTTGTGTTCTGGGTTGAACATCTCCATTGTCCATGGAACAAAGAAGGGATTTTTTTTGACTCATGCTGTGGTTCAAGGGCTGGAGCTCTGTAAGCACAGATCTCCTGTGGGGATGCTGCCCTGTTTCCCCTGGAGTGAGCCTGCTTTGTGCCAAATCAGGGAGCGAGAGGATGTGTGGACACAGTGGGGATGTGAGACCATCCTTCCACTGGTGAAATGCATACAAGGAAACATCCAGAGTTTACCCATCACTGAGTGGCTTCCTCTAAAGCACACTGAAGTAGGCAAGATCCTCAAATAAATTACTGACTGGTTTGCTTTAATTAGGTAAGGACAAAAAGTAGTTCATGTGCTCATATTCTAACAGCACTAATTTTTTTTGAAAAGCAAATGATTGCCCTCTTTCCTTCAGAAGTGATAGTGTAGGTGTACATGTGGAGATTGCTGAATCACCTTGTCCACAGATAGCATGTTTCAATGTCAGTTAATATATTCACCTCTTAGCTTTTCAGGATTTTCGTTTTAAGAAATGGTATTTTGTGGAGACAGAATTCTGTAGCTTCAGTTTATATTCAAGGAAGAAGTATTTTTGTTTGCTCCAAGCCATTTGAGTTTCAAATGCTTTAAAAAAGCATTTTGATTGTCACTTGTGGTATTAGGTTAGGCAGTAAACTAATCTGTGTTATTCAAGTAAACACATAAAATGTATCTAAGGGAAAAAGGTCTGATTGAAAAATTATGAAGTTTTAAGATGAAATTACCTACTTGAACTTGTTTATTTCTTCTAAATGGAGTTTCAAACTGTGTCTGGGGAAAAAATTTCTTTTCTATAATTTTTTGTCCTAGAACTATAGGAGTGTTGAAAAAACTAACTTAAAGACACCTACATTTCTTAAAGTTTTGGAGTTTTTTTTCTCTGACTTCATTCATAGAAACACTTCGTTTCTGTGGAATAAGAAGCACACACAAATAATGTGTTGGGTTTTGCTCATTAAAATTCTGAAATATTCATGAATAAAGAGAAATGTTTCATATTTTTGCTGCTTCATTTCTCAGTATGGTTTTTCCAGGGTAGCTTTTGCTAAGTAAGCAATGTAATAAATAAATAAATAGTTAAATAATACTAATAATAATTTCTTGATATAAACAGATAGGAATTGGCACTAGAAAATAATACCAACAGAAGTAGATAGCAGTAGAAAGTACTAATTTCAGAAGAACAGGTTTAGTAATATATGGGGCCTAAATAGGAAAGGATAAGCCACAGGTGTGGTGCTGGCTTCAAAATTAAAAATTAGTATGCTCTTGCTTGTTCATATTTAGAATCTTTATATTGATTTGACTTGAGATGATAAAGTATTTGGAAAACTGCTCAACTTAAAAGGCTATCAGTTTATATCTGCTTATTTGGGGAATTATATGTTAATCGTTGCAAAATTCTGACTGGAGCTTTAAAATACTTGAAGAATAATTCATTGATTCCATCCAGCTGTTCAAGGCTGCATTTGATGGAAAGACCCAGTTCAGATTAATCCTTGTGAAGCAGTAGAGTATTAAAGCTAGAAGAACTAATTATAGAAAGTAGAAGCCAGGTTTCAGTCAGATTAATAATAGGTTTTAACTGAAAACTTTTAATAATTTTTCTTTTAACTTTTTCAATTTAATTCCATAAGAAAAAAAGACTATTTTCTTAAAGAGTTTCACTGTTAAAAAATTAAGCTGCATTTCCTGTGTACAGCAAATACAATTTTTTTGAGTTGGAAAACTGTAGAAAGTGAACTGCAGAGGGAAGCCAATATTCAGAAGTTTTTTCAAGAGCAAATGAGCTATGTAAATTTAAAATAGTTTGCTAAGTTGAAAAAGAGAAAACAAGCAATGGATCAGAATGTTCTCTTTTTCCAAGAGCTTTGTTGAAACCACAGTGAGGATAATTTGCTCCTGCCCACTATATTTGAATATTTGTTACAGAAGTATAATGGACTAAAAATACATTGTCAAAGGTATCATTTTTATAATCTTTAAAAAAAAGAGAAAAAGTAACCACCTTCTGCCTTTCAAGAGTCTATACCTTGTAAATTGAACTGAACGAACTTCAGTTTAACAGGAGCTTCTTTTTGCAGCCAAAAGCAGAGATGTAGTTCACTGTTTAAACTTCATATATACACCAGTACATGTTCAGGCCTGCTTGGTTTTAGGACTGCTGGAGTTACTGATACGTTCTGTGCAATATAACAATTTTTTTGGAATAAAATTGAATGGTTCATAATTATTTGATTTGGCTTAATTAATTAGACTTCATTCATCTTGGACAGCTGTAACTAGCTAGACTAACAGACTAAGCTTAACATTATCTGGACACTTTTTCTTACTGTTGGTCTTGAAAGTCCACGTGTCTTACTGGTATCCTATTCCTCACTCAAAGGCCATAGGAGAGGGGGCTGATGAGGGAGGCTGGTGCTTTTCTTGCCCTCAGTGCTCGGAATATGTTTAAGCCAGAGTGTTTCAGTATTGCAAATACTTAGCAGATAGATTTTAAACTTGGTCACTAGCCTGGATAAAATGAAAGACAGGGACAAACCTATGTCTGTTTGCTTGGCCAGAAATGCTTGGTGACCTTAGAGCTGCCTGAGTGGAACAGGCAATGGATGGACAGGTTGAGGAAAGGCCCCTGAAGCTGTGTCCATGGATACTTTGATGCAGAACACAGACGTTTTCCCAGCACAAACTGAAGTAGCCACAGAGAATCAGAACAGATGCAAATTTAATTCAGTCACCTTTAGGTCCCCATCCCCTGGCTGAAAGAAGGAGCAATTGTGGAAAAGCTGTTAGAAATTGGTACCTTACAGTCCAAAAATACAGGTAGAAACTAAGTATTATTTGTCATTCTTCATGCTCTAAGGCATAAAGAAGTTACCCACTGAGAGAAACATAATGTTTCCCTTTGAATTCCTACCAAACAACGAGGTGCTGTGTGGTGATATTTTTTGTTCTCCTTTGAATCATTCAGCTTTGCACATAAAGACTGTGGTGTAGCTTCAATCTGCAATTATAAGTGTGTCACTTGAATAGAGAGGAGAATTTATTACTGAAGTGCAGTGATGAGTTACTGCAAAAAAGAACTGAAATCATTGCTTTAAGGCTTATAGTGAGAACAGGGACCATGTGACAAAAGGAGAAAATGTAATTATCTGTTGGTTTCTCTCAGTTAATCTTTTGTAACTTGCTTTTTTTTTGGCTTGGACAAATCTTTTCCCTGTGTGCAGATACCTTGCACACTGGGAGCTGAGTGCAGCTTGAAAAAGGCTGAGGATTTTTAATGCCTGCTGATTTTTTGTGGGAGCAATTGGATCCTCAGCTTCCTGCGTGTCTTACTGTAACAAATACTGCATTGCAGCAGGCAGTCAACACTTACAAAGGATAAAGGATCCTGATCTCGTTAACAATGTTTTCATAACCAGAAGTGTAGTTTTACAAAGCTTCCAAAGGTAGTGACTATTTGAGAGAAAAGGTGACTGCCATCTCATTTAAGTGGAACTAAACAACATGTCTGCGATACAGATGGTCCTGAATAATTCTGCTGAGAAATAATGTGTTCATAAATTGTTAGGAACAAAATGAGTAGAAGTGCAATGTTTGAGTGCTCTGCCATGTGGCAACATCTTTTCCTTGGAGGGCCCTGATCCATTGAGTAGGTTCAAGGTCTTTTTCCATACGGATGCCTCATGGGGAGGAAACATGCTCCTGGTGAGCAGACTGATTCATTTGTACGCTGATTTATGCTGATTATCAATGCAAACTGTGAATGAGGTATTCCTGAGAGTAAAGGCAAGGAAAAATGCATTATTTTCCCTGAGTCAGCCTGTGGACATGTTTCCAGTGAGGTCTGTGTACCCTCCCTTTGCAGTGGGCAGAGAATATCTGCTGTGTAAATGTCTGCTCCTGCTGTCCTGGCTCTCTCTGGACAAGTTCAGAGTTCATGAAAATTTGTCTTTAACATAAGCCAAATGATACCTGGTCCTAATTACAGCTCAACTCTTTAACCAAGGAATATTTAATGAAAATATTTAAATGTGTAATAGTTTATGGGGATATTGTGCTGTTGGACTGCAGTGGGAATATCTAAGAAAGTTGTGAGACTCCAAAGACAGTAGTATTTTAGAAATATATTGAAGCATATTGCAGATTTTTTATCCTAGGAACTTGGTGATTTTGCCACCCAGTATTCCCAGAGCTTCTCTTGGGGCATATTCACAGCACCTTGTTTTAGGATTGCAGCAGTGTAACTGTAGTGGAATGCTGATCCCCATGGGTGTTACTGTACAGACTGTCTGTACCCCTCTCAGGAGAGGCAGAGCTCCAGGGGGCTGCTCAGTGCATCTCAGCTTAGGCTTCTGCTCCGTGCCAAGCTGGACTTGCCCGAATTCTCCTTTCCCCATCACCTGTCAAAGCAGCTGGGAACGTGTTTTTAATGAGGAGGCACATCTGTGAAATGTCATACCTTGTCTTAGGTGGTAGGAACACTGCTTTTCAGTGTGTTTTGGCACCTCTCTGCACTGCAACAGTTGAAAATTGGAGGAAAAAATTAATTCACTATAAAGAGAAGTTTCTCTGAAATTGCTAAGAATCCCATACATTTAGAGGGTTTAGAGGAGATTAATAGGAAGAATAGGTGGATGAATACAAGGCTAAAGAGGTATGAAAAACTATTTTCATCATCAGAGAATAATTTATAATCTATGTCTCTTCACTTTGCACAAATAGCTGAATGCTGAATTTTTTTAAGCAATTTTTCAATTACTGTCAGTACAGTTCCAAGACAGAAACAGAAGTAACATGCCAACACTGTATTTAAAGTCATAAATAAACAGAAATCTAAGCTTTCATTTTTATTAAGTAATGTTACATAATTTTATCTTTTAAAAATGTCAGCTCAAAGCAATTTTCATGGGTCCAAAAGGCATTAAAGAAGCTTAAATTTCAATAAAGTTCTCTTTTTCACTTTTTTGTACTTCAGGTAAAGCACAAACAGTTCTTAAGATAATTTTATATATTTCTTGGTGTCCTTTGTTCAGTAATGATTCTGCATAATGAAAAAGTAGAAGAGTGATGTATATGTCTGTGCTTGAAGGTGGTATTATTTCTGGAAGAAGGTCATGTTGGTAATATAAACTTCGTTATATTTTCCATTTGATTCCAGTTTGCTTATTCACCCTGAAACTATTGCTCAGTAAAATAAGTGATCTATATACAAACCTAAACTTAAAACTGTTTGTAAATACTTTAAAGAGGAGAAAAGTGTATTGGTCTGTAACAGGATTAAGATGTCATTGTCATTGGTTGGGTTTGGTTTTTTTGTGGTTGTTTGTAGATTTTGGGAGTTTTTTGTTTGTTTTGTTTTTTGGGGTTTTTTTGTGGGTTTTATTTTCTTTCTTGTTTTGAATGACTTCTTAAAAATTTTCCTTTTTACATAAGAGAATTGTAGTTTGCCATTTGGAATTATAATGGTGATTTGGCAGGAGGTTATATCCAGATTTGCATTATTTTACCATACTATTGTTGCAGATTTTTTCACTGTAAGAATTACACTTTGGAGTCTTGGAAGATTGATTGGTGCAACAGTTGTGTGCAGTTGTGTTTCAGTTATTTGAGAAGACTGGTTAGCTTTCATCTTTTGAATTTCAGAGCAGTTAATCTGGTTCTTAATTGCTTTTGGAGATGCCCACAGTTTTGGGACCAGAAGAATGTCCTAATCCCTGAATTTGCTGACAGAAGATGCGTGGGAAACCTGAATGGAGAAATCATTTAAAGTTCCTGACAGGGGACTTCCTGGAAAACACTGAAACTCTCAAAAATCACTTTCTTACAGAGAATGATAGGAAAGCCTCACAGCTTTCCTGCTTCTGAGAAGAGTTTGTTCAGGGGGTGAGAGATCAGGAGATAAAACAGTACCAATTTCACAGTCTCAGCCTCTTCAGAATTTTTTTCTGTCTTGCTGCAGAGGCTGCCAACAATAACTGGTTTAAGACTTATCCCATTGTGACGTGGTGATTTATTTTAATGGTCCTGTCTGCAAGAGTAAATCATGTTTGGCAGCTGTAGAACATGAGAAACGCAGTCCAAAGACAATTACCATGTTTTATTAGTATAGAATCAACTTCAGAGTTAATGGGAGTTACCTGTCATCATTAAGAGCCTGATTTTCATCTGTGCTGAACAGCTGCACATTCAGTGGGAATTAATGGGCTTTGAGGCACTTGCTGTCTTTGCAAAAGATGTGGGCAGGATGGTAGTTGGAGCTCAGCATCCATTGCCTGTGTCCCTGAGCAGGGCACCTATCCCTCAGAGGGCATGGGAGCCCCTCTTTGTCTCTGCTCAGATACAAAAGCGTTTGCCTCCTGTTCTTTCCCTGGTCTGGTGCTATTAATTCAGGGTCATCACACATAATGTATTTTGTATTGTATTTACTTTGTATTGTATTTCTGCCTGAGGCCTTTCCCCTTCTGCCTTGTATGTACTTGAAAAACATGGTGATTTAAACTGTATATTGACATTTGAATAGTTAGCAATGGTATGCTTATTGTGACATTTTCTTTTCTTTTTTCTTTCCTAGTGTAAAACTCTCTCTGGCGTCTGTGATCACATTATCTCACTCTCTTCTGATCCACTGGTTTCCCAGTCTGCCCATCTTGAAGTGATCCAGCTTACAAACATCAAGCCAAGTGAAGGGCTGGTAAGAAGTACGCAGTTAATCAAACCCATCATCCAGGATGAGAAAGTTTTGTTTTTTTTAAAATTAGTTGTATATATGAAAATGAATAGGACATTTTAGCCTTTTCTGTTTTAAAGTTTGAGAACAGTTTGATTCCTCGTGCTAGTGTGGTTTCTCATGCAGCTGGGCCAACAGGAAAGTATTTTGTAAAGCTGACTGAAGTATGCAGAGTTCAGTGAACAGGGAGAAATGAGTAAGAAGTTCTTGCCATTTATATCAGCTTCTGAAAAATGGTTCAGATTGTTCTAGGATCTTGAAGTCTGAAGGGACTTAAATTACTAAGATCAACTCAACCAAGAAGTTTGCGTGGGCTTCTGCACAAAACCTGTCAGATTCTGGAAAATGTTTCATAGTATCTTGGGGATATAAAGCTATTTTTTAAGTTATTCCAGGGCTTCACAGCATTGCTAATAAGTAACTCATTGAATTTTACTGCAATAAGTCTGCATTCTTAATCAGGTGCTTGTAAAAGCTCTTAATGCAGCCATCCTGTGTTTGTTGTTCAAGAGCTGACCACTGATCTCTTGTTTACTCAAGTATCCAACACCCGCTGCATGGAAAAAACCAACACTGGTAATAATTCCAGATGTGTGCCTTTACCTCATTAATAATATCTGTTCTCATAATTTTTGGAGGTAGAAAAGAAGGTGTTCAGAATACAGTTAAATATTTTTTGTCTGAAGAAATAGCTTTTGCAACTTCTGCCCAAGCTTAATTCTCATTCCATATTCTTGAATAGTCTTGAAGGAGGACTGCTGTACTCTTTGCAGAAGGTTTTTGAAATTGTCTGGATGTTGTAGTTTTGGAGAATATTTTGGTTTGCAGGTTGGTTGTTGCTGGGTTTTCAGTTGTTTTGTTTTTCTTGGCAAAGTTAGTATGCCAAGTTATTTAGAGCAATTGTACACTAAATTAATCCTCCATTCTTTGGAAAACTGCAATTAAAATACAAGAAAAACCCTAAACACTTGGATGAGTAAATATGGCCCCATCCTTTGTTTTAGTCTGCAGTTTGTTTTCCCTTCCTCTTCTGGCTTTCTTTTTTATCTCTGAATCCATTTTAAACTTGTCCTTCAGGATTTCAGCTTCTCATGGATTCTCTCCTCCCTTTCTTTTCCTCCTTTTCCCCTGAAATTTTAACTCTTCCACCACCTCACTGCAGTCAACCTTTTGAAACCCTTTCTCCTATTGTAATGAGAAAATCTTCTTCCTCTTTCTCTTGATCATCTTTTTATGAGTGCTGTCCATTTTTATCTGAACTTGAATTTTTTTTCTTTCTGTCTTGTGATTGGTTTTTTTTGGTTGTTTTTTTCCCCTTCATTTAAGTCTTTGTATGGTTTGTATGACCTCTCAGGCACTGAGAAATGTTGAATGGTACTTTTGTGAATAAGAATGTGTTTCATAGGTCTGCTCCTGCTGGGTAGCTGATGAGAGAATCTCTTTCCCTCTCTGTGTCTCTGTTTTACACCCTCTGTCTGTCTTGTCTGTTTAAACTGGAAGCTCTTCAAGGCAGGGTTTTTTCTTTTTATGTATTTGTGAACCAATTTAGCAGGGTCTTGATGTCATTGTCATAAAAATACGTATTTTTTGAAAAAGGTAAAATAGCAACCATTCAGTATACAAACCTTAGAAGGATACAATGCCATTTTGACACAGTCATGGGTTTTTTTCCCTCATCCTTGCCTGCGTGCCACTATTGTGTTCCCTGGGCATTGTGCCATCTCCTCTAGATTGTGAGCTCTCCAGAGCAGGCACCAAGGATGGGGGATTCGTGCTGGGAGAGTGAAAATCATCCCCTTCACTTTGTAACAGCACCAGTCCTGCCAACAGATCCCCTTTGTCATGTGGTTCTTGGTGCTTCATATGCTTTTGGGTTCTTGGGCTTTTGTTTGTTTGCTTTTTAAATGAATAATGCCTTTGAATTAAAACACAGTGAATGCACATCAGCACACACTGAGTGCTGAAGGGTGGCAGTTTAAGAATTGATGGTGGAGCTCAGAGAATATTCTCTGCACATCAGAAACGCTGGGATAAATCTGAAGCTCAGTCATTTCTGGACCTTCTTCCAGGATTTGTGCAATGATGGAGGTGGAAAAATGGTTTATTGTCAACTTTGCTGTAGATTTTTGACCCACGTGACAGTTCTGTGCTGGCTTTACCAATGACTAAATAAAATGCTCTATAAAAATCGAAGTACTTCAGGCAGAAGAAAAAAGACAAGCATGGCTGCTAACTGTGAAGACTTTTGTCACCTATCATAAACAGAATATCTACTATCTCAAATTCAATAGCTAAGAAGCGAAAGGAAATCTGGAAAAGAAAAAGGAAAGGCGATGAGAAGGAATTTAAAAGGTTGGAAAACAATGCTGTTTCCCTAAATTAATGGTAAATACATGATGGAATTAAGAAAATGCTTGAAGCTTTTACAACTTAAAGAAGATTGGCATGATCAGGATATTTTAATCAGCACAAATGGTTCCTTCGCTGTGTTTGGTCTTTTTGTGTAGAAACGTAAGTATTGTCAGAGGTAAATGTAAATTTTCAGACTAATACCTGAATGCAGAAGAAACAAGTAAACGTGTTACCATGTCTTACAGATACTAAAACTAGTTAACACCTATGACTAAGTAACCTTTCAAGCAACTAAACCTGTCAAACAGAAAATGCTGTTAGGGTGTGATGAGGAGAACCTCTTGTGTACTGGGTAAAGCAGTGTTATGAGTGGGATTTGGTATTGGTTTTGTTGTTTGTTTTTTTTTCCTTTTTTATTTTCCCTCTATTCTTGTCTCTTATGACTAGCTGCATTCATGTGTTCTCCAGTGAGTGCTGCTGGGGGAAGAGATACAGCTTGCAGTGGCTGTGCAGTAAGGGTGAAAAGACATGTCATGGTAGAAAGTTATTTAAAAAGCCTTAAAATGGATTAATGTGGTCAACTTTGCAATCACCAACATGCTTCCATGTGTAATCCTTTCCTTTTTTTTTTTTTTTGAGGACTTGCAAGTTGTTTCATCTGTATCAGTAAGCAGAATTTAATTTTGTATGTTTTTACATTACTGATATACAACTAGGTTAGGTAGTATGTTTTACCATGAAACAGATTTAAAAATGTTGCTGCTTGACTGAAAGCAGTGAGTGTATTTACACAAAAAGCAGAAAACCAAGCTTTTCTTGGGTAGTTTTTCTGCAACAGTCACTTTTCACTTTATTTTTAATATAGAACAGAATATCAGAGAACTGTAGCAAAGGTTAATCTTGAATTTCAGTTGTTTCCTGTTCATATGAATCATTTTAATCCTAGTCAGGTAAGTGACTGTGATATGATTTCAAGGGCTCAGAAATGCAAAGGTAAACTCATCAGAACATGAGAGTGATTGTTCGGGTTCCTTTTTGCCTGCTGAAGCAAACACAAAAGAAGCTTGTCATGTAAAAAATTGCTCATGAAGTACAAGTCATGGATACAGCAAGGTGTGGCAGCTGATTAAAGTGTGCTGCTTGGATTCCAATGTACTACTATTCCTGATATTTCTCCTGAATTTGTTAGTTTGAAATACTGGAAGAGCTGGGAAAGAGTTATGAACAGCATTCTAAGAGCTATTTGGGGTTAAAGGAGCATGTGCAACTTTGGAGGGTTCCATGAAAATGGAGTGGAAGTAAAAATTCGGTTACATGTTTGATGAAACAAAATTAATATCTTTCCTCTTCCATCCAGCATTGCATAAAATATCGAGAAATATGTTATATTTTAATATACATATAACATATGTTAGAAATATATCACATTCTGTTTTAATTTTTGAAGAGAAAAATAAACAAAAACAAAGGGGAGAAAAAAGAAAAAAGCACAAAAGGTCTCTTTTCTACCCCTTGACTTAATCACCAAGATAAATTGTAATGATTGTTTTGAAATTAGAGCTCTACCCATAACTGATCAGGACAATCTCTCATGTAATTAAGCATGATTTACTCATTTTTTAATCTAGGCATACATTTATTCCTGATTACTAGGTTGGTTATCTTATGGTTATTTTAGTCATATAAACTGAATTATCTTTCCTTTTATCTGGTGTAACTGATTCTTGTAAATTCTTAGGGACTTACCTTTGAATACATAAGACTGTATCTACCAATTTATTTCAGTGCAAATGGACAGAGCACACACTGATCTCCTCTGTATTCTTGATTGCTAAAAGTGCTATTGATATTGTGCAGCCACAAGGAGGCAGAGAGGAGAAAATTTGTAAATATCTGTGATATTCTTATTTCCATTCCAGATCAAACAATTGTAAGCCAGAAATCTTCTCTTCTCTGTAGCATTTCCTGTATATTTTTCACTTAAAACAAGGAGGGGAGAAACATGGGCGAAAGGGGCTCATTTTTGTGTTACAAAATGTTACCTCTCTTCATTTAAAAGCTGCTTTATATCAATAATTATGTTCTCTCTTGTAAAATTAATGTGACATGGTACTAATATAACATTTATTAATTTTGCACATGTGGAATAAATACAATCTAGGGTGGATATTTTTCAGCTTCCTTCTTCACTCTCTTTCCTAATGTGTGCAAAATCTTGACCCTAGCCTTTGAAGAACATTCTGCAAAAGTTCTTTCTCCTCTTTTGAATTTCTGAAGTCCTTTAAATTTGTCGAAAAGACTAGATTGGATGTGAATTGTCCTCTGGAATGGTGGCACACTTGGATGAACTTCCTATCCTTTGGAACAATGCTTTGCACAAAACTGAACACCGTGTAACCATTAAGTGTGAGACTTTCCCTCGGCTTTCACCCTGGTGTTTAAGGTTGAAAGCAGTAACTCACTGTGAATAAAAATAAAGATGTGGCTTTCTTCAGAAATTGCTCTCTTTGGGGACCTGACTCAAAGTTCCTGTCGCCATGGTCACTGTGATTTTAGCTCTTGCAATGTTGCAGGGTGTGTCCCAGTGACTTAGATGGGGATCCTGAGAGGAATTGAGGCCCTGATTAGAGGTGGTTTGAGGGTAGGTGTGTGTACCAAGGAACAGATACCAACATATCTCAGCCTCTTGTGTGGCTCATTATGCTTTCTGTAAGATACCTGTATATTAGTGTTAAGATGTGTGTATATTATTAGTGTTTCCCTACCTCACAGGGGTGTTGTGAGGATAAATGTATGAAAAAGCCATTCTGTATTTGAGTTAAGCAAAAGCTGTGTGATGGAGCCAATGAATGGACAAATTTCTGAAGGTACATAGAGGAGGTGGAAGTTGAAGGATGATGTCAGGGGGTTTCTGACCATGTAGTAATAAGTAGGTTCTGGGTTTTTTGCCTTCTAGCTGTGGCAGCTGAACATGGTAAGGGGTTTTGATGCGATTAACACTGTGAAAATAGGAGTTCACTTTTGAGCCCCTATCCAGAGAAATTCAGGAAGTTCCTGGCTTGTTTTACTGGGGATATTATCCAGTTTCTTAATTTAGGTGTACTTCCTCATATCTGCTACCAAAAACATGTCTGGTCCTAGCTTAGATTAGTCCAACTTGATATATCTTCTTTGCCTTTTTGCCATACTTACTCACCAGTGAGTGTACTGGGCTCCCAGCTAGGAACAGACTTCTCTGTGGCACTCTGATTAAAAAGACAAAAAATAGGTTATGGAGAGGATGTTTACTAAAGTGCTGCATATTTACCTGCTTTCTGTGAAGTGGTTGAGGGAAAGGAGATTGCTCAGAAATTGTTGAATGCTCAGTATATGCCAATTATCTCTCATTTTCCTTCTCTCAGTGTTGTAGTGGATGCTGTTAAAATGTTTGAATTAAGGGTTGGTGAAAAGACATATTGGAGACACTGTCTTGGACTACCCATGCAGGAACTCCTGTCTGTTGCATAAGCTATCCCTCCTTTTTCATAGTTATTTGAAAGAAGCAGAGTAGCTAAAAAAGTTGATGTTGAATTTTTCTTCATTGATAGCTGAAGTGTTCATTGGGATGAGCGAGGCTATGAGAAGGTCTTAGAGCCATTTAGCAGGCACAATTTCAAGCACTAGTTAGCAGTTTGAAAGTTTTGTTTGCAGCATTGCCTACTGAAGACTCCGGATCTTTTAAAACTCAATGTAGTTTTCAAAGCAAAATGGACATATTGATCACACTAAGGCAATTTGTAATTCTGGGGCTTTTGGTAAGGCATTGTTCTATTTGTAGCTGAAGTAGTGTATTAAAAAACCTGAGGAGTATTTATGGACATAACCATAGTAAACATTTTAGTTTTCTATTGCTAATTAGGGCCAAAATGATTTGGACTGTTCTTGAAGTATATAAAAAAGCACTTTCTTATGCAGAGACAAATTCCTCATGGCATGCATTAAAGTCCACAAATCTTAAAGAAAGCAAAAAGAAAAGAGAGATTCTTTAAGAGATATGCAAGTTTTGTTTGGATGGTGATGGTTTGTGAAACACTTTAAAAATTCTTTCCCATGATGTCTTTTTCTTAGGGTATGTACATTAAGTCAACATATGATGGTCTTCATGTAATTACTGGAACAACAGAAAATGTAAGTATTGTTAATACTGTATGTTCAGGCCTGGAAGCCTTTCTGACCTTACCTGTGGTTAATGCTTTCCCTTTGCTATAAACTACATTTTGCTTGCAAACTTGTGCTGGTTGGCTGTTAAGGACCAATGGCATGTTGGACAGCAGAGATGCTTGTGCTTGTTTACCTCAGAATTGAAAGAGTTGTTCACAGATAGGACCAAGAGAATCAGTCTTGATTTGGTCTTGCAAGACTAAAATGCTGTAGTTGATCAAGACAGGAAGCAGCTGTCTTGGAGTTACTTTGCTCTGTGAATAAAAGATAAATGTCTATATTATATTTAGGCTGTTAATGCTGAAGTTTGCTGCAGTATTAGACAAACAGCTTTTGTATTTTCCATCTATCAAGCTTCATTTTTTAATAAATGAGTGCATGGAAATGGACATCCCTTCACATTGACAAATAACTATGTATTTCTGCATGAAGTTCTGAGTAATGCCTATGGAAAGGAACACTTATTACCAGTGTACTAATTCTCACTGAAGGCATTAAAGAGCAATAAAACATAACAGACTACTTTTCAAAAGCCTTTGAAATACAACCTCCTTCCCTTGTACACTATATTTAGGGAACTGGCTGTCTGTTAGGAGTTGAGAAAAATTATAATTTTGGAGGAAAAGACTTCTATCCACAGTCTTCAATTAATGTGGAACAATCACTAAACAACACTGAACTGTTCCATAATGGTTTAGGCAATTCCTTTCAAAGATTTTGATGGCATTTTCTTAAAATGAAGCTGTCAGAAATGTTTGTTTTATCATGCTACCGTGTCATCCTGTGGGAAGTGCCAAACTACCTACATGACATTTACAGCTGCTGCATCTGATCTGCAGTGAGGTTCTGTTAACATCTCAATAAAATAGAAATATTTTCATCCTTTCATAGGAGCTGCAATCTGATAGCCTTTTTCCTTTCTGTTTTCTGTTGTGGGCAGAATGTCCATGGGTCATAACCAATAGATAATACCTGTTGTAGAATTTGTGTGAATGCCACCTATCTTGGAATTAAAAAAAAAAGTAAGGAATTTAAAGGAAAATAAAAATTCTAGAGAGTCAGACCTATAGCTACAGACATCATTAGTGAAATCAGCAAAACTAAACAAACCAAACAGAACTACAGTTGAGCTTAATCTAGAAAATATATGAAATAAAGAGAGCAATTTTTACAGTTGAATCTCTCAAAGAAGGAACACTTTCTTTCCATAACTTGCTAATGGAATTAATTTCCCAGGGGCAAAGATAAAAATAAAATCCTAATGCATCCCTCAAAACTCTAATCTTTGTGATTCATGAATATAATTTAAAGCTATGTCAGGAAGCTTCAGTCATGATGACTCTTCTGCTGTTGTTACTGACTCTTTCCCTCACTGTGACACCCTGGAGTTGCCCACGGCAGACCAAGAAGCTGCTCTCTGTTGTCAAAGGAAAAAGCTGCTGTGTGTTAAAGCAATTGTGAAAAAGAGTAGTGCTTTAGAGAAAGAAGGGTGTCTCCTACTTGTAAAAACACAACTTCTAGCTGCTTTCTTTAACACACACACATAGACACAGACACAGAGTTTTGATTTTGGTTGATGGGAGGAGAAAGATCTAAGCAGCATGGCCAGAATAAGATCATGATGGTGCACATGTGATCTGACCTGCTGGCCTTAACATGTTTACTCTTTGCAGTACAGTTTAACTTCTAGGAAACAAGAATCCAAATTCTCCTGCATTTGAACAAAATTTTGTGTCCCTTTAATTTCCAAGTGAGACAGTGACAGAATTTTTGTCTGAAAGATCCTGGAGAAGAACGTGTGTCTGTATTAAACACAGTATCATGGTAGTGCTCTCCACATTAATGTAGGAGAGTAGTTTTGTAGTAACAGTTCTGCTTTTTCTGTCTGGCCCTTGAGGTGTTTGATACCCAACTGCAAAGCCCATTAGAGTTTGGATCTTGCTGTTTGGCATTAGGAATCATCTCCCCCAACATGTTAGCCCTGCAGATCAAAGCAGCTGAGCTCTGAGGCTTGGGCTGGGAGAGAGCAATTGTTCCTCACAGGTCACAGCCCTCTAAGGGCTTCTCTGGTGGCCCTGGAGCATCAGAGCGAGCTGAGCTTTCCAGTTCGTGTCTTCTGTCTTTTGTTTGGAAGTAACAATCTAAAGGGTGTTTGGTCCAACAGAAGATTTTAGGTTTCTTGTTAAGTAGCCCATCTAGACTATATTGGAGAGATTCTTTTAATTCACAAACCAAATGTGTTCTTCAAATAAGACCATTTTTTCCTTTGATTTTCCAATGAAAAAGAACATTTTTTTCTAAAGTAACAGCATGCAGTGCATCTCCAGCAGGAATGTGGCTTTGAAGGGGGTGCTCCCAGTGTCACCATTTACTATGGTCTGGTTGGCTTTGCATGGTGCCCTTAGATCATAGGGAAGAGAGATTTTTCAGAAGAAAAAGTACCAAAATCTCCACTGTGGGTATGCAGCAGTTGTGCTTCAGGAGCTCTAAACTGGACTTTCAGACAGTGTGGGTATACCAGGAGAATAAGAAAGAAGACAACATTTAGTCTAAAGGATAAATTAAATCTATTCTAAAGAATAAATCTAAGTAGATTCTGAAAAGTTTTTAGTTATTGATGTGTGAGTCTCGGTAACATGTCCAAATCACCAGCTAATGAAGATACAGTTGTGCTGTGTCACTCATTGTTCCTCCTAGTAGGACTTCATGAGTGGATTCTGTGCTTAAAAAAAAAAAAAAGATCAGCATATACATCTAAAAAAGATTATAATTGATTCTCCTGTTTTCCTTAAGCAGCCATGATAAAAGATACTATTTTACAGCAAGGTCTGTTTTTTATTGGAGAGGAAAAAGCAATAAGGAACAGGAGTTACCACCCCTTCATAAGACCACAGCCTTGACATACCTTTATAAATGATTTTACCTCACCTTGTGTTTGAGGCATAATTACAGTGAGGCTTTTTTAACAGTTGAAGATTTTCAGACCATGTTTTAATGACTTGGCAAACTTGACCTATATTGTCAAGATTTAAGCTGCAAATGCTGAAGACACTGTAAAGCAAAGGATGTATTGTAATAAAGTCCTGAGGAGTTCAAGGGTAATGACACAGAATTCACTTGCATTTGCATTTGCATTTTAAAAGTCTTAGGTGTAACTATATCTGAGCTGAAAGAGCTGTATTACATAGGAGGATTATAAAGATTTTAGAGGTATGAATGAGTAAGTGTGAGTAGTGAAATGGCAGACAGAAGACAGATTATTAGGACATAATCACTGGTGATAAAATTTTTCCACAAGTCACTCAACCAGTGCCTTTATTGCTTAAATAGCACCAAAATGTCAATGCTGGTATTATTTATATAAATGAAATGACATTCTTACCAGCCCAGTTTGATTTAGGATGTTCTGTGCAATGTCTGCTGGGACTGAGTCATGAGTGACCCTTCTTTCAGCCTCTCATGTCTCTTGGATATTTTTCATTTGTACAATGTCCTTAACTTAGGCCATGAATTATGTGCAATTTAACTAGAAAGTCATGGCTTAGCTGTGGGACATGTGTTTTGAATGGGAATGTAGTACAAAGGTTATTACAAAAAGTCCACATTTCAGGCCTGGAGTAGTTTCTTTTGATGACCTGTTCTCTCAGCTGAAAACTAAATTAATTTCACTCCTTAACGTAAAATTTGTAGCAATTTTTTTTTTAAAAAAAATCTGCTCCTTTGGGTTCTTTTTTTCAAACTGTCAGTCTCACCTTCTACTGTGGAGTCAAGTGCCTTCTGGCAGCCACAGTATTCTGAGAAAAATTAAAGCGTGACTTTGAAAAATGGAAGGAATTTCTTTTTCTTTAAACTTAAGAGGTATTCCCCTCAGAAAACAATTGGCCTACTGTAAAGAGAGAAGGGAAAATTTGTGGGGCTTTCACTTTATGGAAGAGGTGTTTTTGGGTTTTTTTCTGTTGTTGTTACTGAGATTTTTTTTTTTGAGGCCAAAGCAAAGTACGAAACTACTTTGGTTTTTTAAGTGTGATCACTGTAGGATTTTGATGATGGTTCCATTTCTTTCATCCTAATAATGTTCCAAAACCAAAGTTACCATTAACTTACTTGCTCTACTTAGGTTGTACCTAACCCAGTCTTCTCTTCTTGTGTGCTCTTTGCAGAGCAGTAATTTAGTAAAGCTCTCTGCAACATTTTGAAATGTTGTAGAATAAAAAGACAATTTTATGAAACTTGTTTAATATTTATTTATTGCCACTTTGTCTTGGTAGGTTCAAAAGTCGGCCAAAGATTGGCTTTCGAGACTTAAGAGATGTCCAGCAGATTAAAACATTTTTTTTTTGTCAGGATGAAATTCAAAAGAACTCTTTAGGACTCAGTTATCATATGTATTCAAATCTTTCTTAACATGTGATTTTATTGTGTAGAATAGTGCATATCATTTTTCTCCAACAAGAACAAACTGATTTATTAAATATTTCTTTAATTCTTTATTTCACAGTAGAATGTCTATCAGTCTAACCTGATTTACATAGCTTAGCAATCATACTGCTGAAAGAGAGATGATGACCAGTAAGACCTGTATTCTTGATCATCTCTTTTATTTTAAATTCAGTCACCTGCAGATCGGTGCAAGAAAATCCATGCTGGGGATGAAGTGATTCAAGTTAACCACCAAACTGTGGTATGTATAACTATGTTCTGTGTCACTTGGAGATAGAGGTGTCGGGGCACATTAGCATGTGTAGAGAAGAATTGTGTAGAAAAATGTGTTTTTATAAATCATTATTTCTTCTAACATCTAAAATTTCCTTTTCTCTTTTGAAACCACATAGTTCTGAAGTCTTATGCTAAAACCCTGATAATCTTAGTATTGCAGGAGATATTAAGTTAGGCTAAATATCTGTGACTTGGTAGATCTGTTAGGCTGTTTTCTGCTTGCCCATGCACTATTAATAAACAGTTGGTTTAAGTGTAATGGAAATTTTGGGTTGCAGGGAGTTGGAAATATTGTACCTTTTTGGGTTTAAGATCAAGAATGCTTCTTGGAAGCTGGAAAGCTTACTACTTTCCAAACATACTGGAAAGTGTAGAGTGTGGTTTTTAAGAAGACAAGCATGTGAAATTCTCATAGGGGTACCTAGGTGATTGACTTTAAACTTGGAAGCTTAAACAAATCTTTCAGATATGATAGTCAAGAAAACTAATACCATGCAAATTGCCTTTTGTGGGAACAGATACTTGTTAGTGCTTGGTGATTTTATTTAGGATTAGTGAACTGTTAAAATTAATTTACCTTTTCTAAGGTAAGGCTTTTTAAGAGAAAAGGCAAAATTACAGTATAGAAAGCAGCTATTCTTTTTCCAAAGCATGAAGTTTCTTGAGAGTAGTGAAAGTCAATATATGGTATTAGTGCAGCAGCCATTTGTTAGGAGCTGTGTTCTGTCATCCCACACGGGGCTCCACTTCCATCTTTAGGCCACTGTACATCATGTGAGCTCCTCTGCACAGGTTAGGGTAATATTTCACTATACCCTCCAGTTAAGTTTGAAATCAAATATACTGTACCATATGGACCTTAAAAGATGAGAAGCCATCTTTTGAGCTATGCAAGGTAATTTGATAAATCTGAGCAGGTCAGGATGAATTTTAATACTGTTTTGGCCACACAGCTTCTCTGTAAGTGTTGTATCCCATTATTGCTTTTCATGTACAGTTGATGACTAATTTCTCTGTTTTTCTACACTGAAAAAAAGCTTATGACATCCGTTTAATTTGGAAAACATTTTAGAACATTATTATTTTGGCTATTTAAATGTATACATACCTGAAGAAGCCCATCATTAAACATTCAGTACTAGCTAGCTAGTTTTCAAAAAAAAAATTTGGTGGTGCTGTAAAGTTGCCTTGTCAACTTGAAAATTTCCAGTTGGCTAGGTATTTTTTCTAATTTTCTTAGCACATCTACACTGCAGTTATTTGATGGAAAGATCAGATTCTTAACTCTAATGCTAACAGTAATGTTTTGACTGGCCTTAAGATGAACTTTCTTACCTATGTGGATGGAATATTTAATGTATGATTTGGGTGTCTTGGCTTTTGCATAAGTGAAGTATTTTCAGAGGCACAGAAAAAGGAAATTATTTCTAGGAAAAAGGACCATGGAGAGCTAAGACAAACTTAGCTTAAAATGGTGAATATGTATAGTAAGACTAAACCACACATTTACTTACGCTTTTCTTTGTTGTATCAACAATATAATTGAAATAGTTGTTATTATTGATATTGTATACAATGTATACAAGTAACTTTCTTGTGTTCTAGTGTTAATTTTCCACAGTGAAAATCAATTAGGATTTTCTTAGAAATGTGGTAGTACCTCCCACGTTACCTTTGCAAGAGTACACTACATTCACTCTTCAATTTATAAAGCCCAAATATTTCATTTTTTTTCTATAGATGCTGCAGGATTTGACAAGAGTCTAAGTAAATCCTATTGTACTCCAGCCTCTGTCATGAGGAATTTACTGTCCAGTTCTAGGAATCTGCTTTTCTGGGAAGCAGTATTATTCCTTACAGTGACTCTTGCTTAGGAGATAAATAATTCTGATGATACTACATTTTGTTTTTACTGTGTATTGATAGCTTTTCACACTTGATATACTACTCACCAGCAGCAAATATAGGACAGCTTGCACCCTGTAACTTCCCATGCATATTTACATATCATACATATCATATGTAACTCATCATACTTATATCACTAGTATTGACCAGGAAATAACTAAATTTTTAAATTATCTAATTTTTAAAAAATATCTAATTCTAAAGCTGTAGGGTGTAGCTGTTATTAAGGTTGAGTCTTGTAAACGAAGACTCAAAATGTAAAAAAAAAACAAACAAAAAATCTCCAAAACCTTCAATTTCTTTTAGAGTTAAAGCCCTTTTTAAGAAGTCTACTTCAGTTATTTCAGTGTATTTATCTGTCAAATTGAAGTTATTGTCTGTCTATTGTACTTTATATTTCAAAGAGTGAATACAAATATGAGGAAGAGAAGTTCCATACAATTGGTTTAAAAATTCAACTTGTTAGATAATACTTCTTCCAAGAATCACATTGTAATAACTACGAAAAGGCTGCTTTTTCAGAAAGCCCACTGACTTTCAAATAAGCAGCATGACAAAGTAGGAGAATGGTTAAATGGTTTATACTGATTTTCATTTTGCATGTCCTAATACTGGGTGTCAAATAGTTTTAAATTGTCTATTGACATCCTCTGCTTCTAGTGTTGCTTAACCTTTGTAATATTTCATTTGACAGTGAAATCAAAGAATTTCATGTGATTATTTTGATTGTTTGCTATTTGATAGAAAACATGCCTAACAAGATTATTCCACTTGTTGCTGGCAGGATGTTTGGACTATTTGAACCTTCTGTATTAAAAAAAAAAATTGATTAGACCTAAAGCCAATGAAAAGTTAATGTTTAGAAAATTGTCCTTTAAATAGTAGTTTCTTGAGGTTAAATAGCTATGTGAATCTTCTGTGTCAGTTTTGCCTTGCAGAACAGATCTATTCTTCAATAGTTCTGTAATTAATAACTCCCTCCAACATGAGAAGGTCGTGAACCTGCTGGACCAAGTCCAGATGAGATCACGAAGATGATCCCAGGGCTGGAACACCTCTCCTTGGAGAACAGGCTGAGAGAGTTGGGTTGTTCAGCCTAGAGTGGAAAAGGCCTTGGGAAGATTTTGTAGCACCTTCCAGTAACTAAAGGGGCTGCAAGAGAGCTGGAGCGGGACTTTTTACGAGGACCTTTATTGATAGGCCAAGGGGAATAGCTTTAAACTGAAAGAGGGCAAGTTTAGATTAGGTGTTGGGAAGAAATTCTTTGCTGGGAGGCTTGTAAAAGCATGGAAAAAGTTACCCAGAGAAGCTGTAGATGCCCCATCCCTGGAAATGTTCAAGGCCAGGTTGGACAGGGCTTTGTGGGAATGTCTCTGCCCATGGCAGGGGGTTTGATGCTAGGTGATCCTTAGGGTCCCTTTCAACCCAAACGATTCTGTGATTCTGTGACTCTCCTATAAAGATTCAAAGGATTTAGACAATGTCTTCTGCTAAACTTCCCTGAAAATTCCACCCTTTATCTTCTCTGAAAGCCTGTGTGTCTAAAATATTTCCAATGCAAACAAACAAGCAAAAACACCTTCCTCACTCGGATATTTCAGAATTTGCACTGTACTGCAGTACTCATGTTTCTGCCCATATATAATTCTTGAGCCTGTTTTGGCTCAAGATTGTCCTTTTTTTAACCAACTGAAAGTGCAGAACACTATATTACTGCTTAAATGAATTAGTTCTCTCCACAGTACTGTTCCTGGTTGCATCAATGATAAAACAATAGAGAAAATACTCAAGCAGAAAACAGGGATGTACAGACTCAGGATGGTGTAAGATTCTTGATTAACAGTCTGTTCTTGTATAATAGTTTCTTTGTTTTGGAGGCATATTTGGCATATTGCATATACTTTGAATACAAGTATGATATAATTTAGGGATTAAATACATGTTTGATATGACGTGATAGACCTGTGGATTCCCAAAATTTGTGTTTGTTGGCTAAAACTCATCAGAACTTAGGTAATTGTTGATGATGGGGAAAAAATAGGTGACTATGGTCAATTACCAATCTGTTGCATATAGAAGCTGGTAGGTTTAGTGTATTTAACACCTAAAAGCTGGAATTGTGTTTTATGGCATCTTGTAATAGATAACACTGAACTTTTATACAGCAGATTTCTTGCTGTGGAAACTCCAGTGTGCCAAACCAAGTCCACATAGTTGACATACAGGAACTTTATATATATTTACAGTACAAAAACTTAGAGGAGATTTTGCTAAAATTCCACTGAAACATGACAGATACATTTGCAAGATGATACCTTGCTTTGTTGGTAGGGTATACACTTGACGAGTATGATGCCTTCCTAGATACTCATCCTAACTTAAATCTTTGTTTTGGAAAATGAAAGAACAGATTTTTAAGTTTTACTGTACAATTAGTAAGGAGAGTTCAACTTCCACAGAATGTCTTAGGATTTGTTAGGAGATGGAAAATTCCAGCTCATAGGCAATACTGAGCTTGGGGTGCATGTGAATCTCTGGAGTGTAGACATCAGAAATGGAGATTGCAGTAGATGGCTTCTAATACTGGGGGGGAAACCAAACCAAACAAAATTCCTCTAAGTAGAAAAATGATGCTGCAAATATTTATTTTTTTTTTTTCTGCACTGTTTCATATCCAGCTAGACTGTTGTGAACACAGATATTTTATTTAAGGCCTCCTTAACTTGGCTTTTAAAGAGGCAGAATTTCTAAAGAGGCTTAATGGGTAAGTGGGCTGGGATAGTACAAGGGAGGGGACAGCTGGGTCAGTTCAAGCTTTTAACATAGGATGTTTGACACCTTATACAGCTTCCATTAAGAACATCTTTAAAACAGCATTTTTATTATGATGCTTGACTTGAACAAAAAACAGTGCATCAAGATCATAAAAGTTGAAGGGAAATGAGCTTTTTGTTCAGTTTCCTTCTATTGCTGTTATGCATGTGCTTTTATGGAGGAGGAGATAGAGGACCAGCTCCCAAATCATGCTTTTAATCCTTTCTTAATCCTTGGGCTTTC